TTTGACATCATTTCGGATTCTTTTTTGGGATATGCTCATATAATTGTTCGAACATAAAACGACTGCAGCAAATTGGTTTGTTGTTGAAACGTTCATTTTCCTTTTCTTTTAATTATTTTTCGGATGATTCTGTGAGCCATAGGAAGAGCGAACTAAGGATTAGACATCTCTAAAAAATTCTACTGAAATCCTTGGAATTTCCTGAATACTTTCCAACACGAAGCAGACTAACAAGTTTCATAAAACTAAAAAAGATCATGAAGATGTGCTGTAAACGGAGAGATAAGGCAAGACAAATATACCATCTGGTTTCTGTTGGACTCATAAATCTATTAGTTCGTTTTGAACTCTGTGTGTAAGGTTAGTCGTATAACTTCGTGTAATAGAAGGTTATTTAAGTGGTTATTGAAATATCTACATTTTGCCGTTTTACCGTTCGTGTTGACCGCAATTATTGCTGATTGTTGGCAACACTGGTTATTGTGTCCTTGAGGAGAACTGATTCGCACTGTCCATTCGATTATTACGTACGAAGAAGCGATTCTCGTCGGTATCTCGATTGTTTATTTGGAACGTTTTCACCTTTCGCGGTCAGCATTAACGTTACTAAAGTGATTCATCTTCGAAATCCTACGGGACAGCCTCCAACCCCTTTTTGTACAATAACCGCCGTTTTGGTACAAGGCGCGGTGGCTAAAATTCCCTTCTCCTTTCCTAGAGAGATCTGTAAAGCGATTTGTTGCCGTTTACAAGGACATCAGACGATTAGAGCAAGGTTAAGGCGGCTGACCCGATACCAGGCGGCTTTCTTCTTGGCTTGGTTTCTTTGGTACGTGCGGTATGTAAGAGATAGAATATCAAAGGTAACTTGATGCATTCACGATCTCACTGATTGCCGTTCTTTCATCGTTCGTAGTTGCCAATCTCGATGACAGTATACGTTTCGTTTTTTGCATAAATTGTTGCAATTGTATGCATTGGTCGGGTTCTACGTTTTAATCGAAGTGTTTACGATGTAATACTTTTTAAGATATTTGAATAGTATTACCATAGCTTTT